GTGCAATACGTTGTACCACTAAGGTTTGATCCTCTTAGTTTCCTATTCCTATTGATCTATTCCTATACTAATGGTATATAGAGATAAGGCTACTTCTTGGTGATATGAATGAGTTGAGATGAGATGAGAAGAATATGGATTTCAACATGTTTTGGAGTAGTCATTTAAAAATAAATAAAGTGTCTGACATATTGTCAGAACAACGTAATATTATGCGAGAAGGTTAAAAGTATGTGACAACCAGTGAGATATTGGTTAAAAAAAACAACAACACTAATGGCGGAAGTGTTTATGATATACATATATATATGGTTGATTATAACTTAGTCGTCATTCCAGTGTTGGAAATATATCTTAGAATTACATCTGTATATTTCTGTGAATCTGTAAATAAAGTGGAAAGAAGAATGGGAGCTACGGGGTGTATATCTATATCCCGGTGTAGTCTTTGTCTGTGTATAGTGACAGTCACAGACCAGTAAATAATGTTCGATGGTTTCTGGGACTTAACAAGTCTCACAGAAACAGTCTTCATGTATTTTCATCTGAAATAGATAATGATTTAAGCGGCATCTGCCTAATCTTAATCTTGTGTACGCTGTTACCAATTGTTTGTTAGTACATATTATTTTGTTCCAATTTAGTTTTAACAGTCTTACATGGGCTTTCATAAGTTTTCCAGTTGTTGGATCTTCCCAGGCTGTTTGCCAACTTTCTAATAGATTTAGCTGTAATAAAGATCTAATTTCTCCCTTCTCTAAACGTACATCTATATCAATAGTTTTACTTAATAGTGATAGTTTTGCTTCTTGATCAGCGATGTCATTGCCTTTTATACCAATATGAGTTGGCACCCATACTAGTTTGACACTGTCATTTAACACAAATACTTTTCTGTATTTATATAAACCATGTACTATTGTAATTTAACATCAATAAAATAAAGTTTAAACTAACACAGATAAGATATTTAATGTCTCAAAGAGAGTCAACAAAGATGACAGAGTTATCTGCCGCTGTAGTATTTAAACATTGTAGTGTTAGTAATATTGCCATGAGTTTCAGCTGTATTAATTGAGATGTTATTACTAAGATGAAATTTATTTTTGATATCCAGTGCTGGAACAACAAAAGAACAACCACATATTTGAGATATTGGATCTTTTGATCCATCTGTATATATATGAAGACCATTAAAAGTATGAATGAATTGATTTACAGGTCCTTTTATCATGTCGGGCGGCATGAATTTGTTTATAACGTCATGCAGGGTAGTGACTATTTTCTATTTTGGACGTTTTTAATGCCGGGGGGAGGGGGG